CCGGGTTTTGGGTGGCAAAGCCGTCCCCTCCTGGCCTCCAGGCTTGCCAGCACAAGCGGTTTTCCATGTTTTCTTTGACCCTGCAAGTCACTCTTACTGCCAGGACATCCCATCCAGCCCTCAGGAGAGCACATAGACACCACTCACCAAACAGGGCAATAAAACATTATCTACCTGTCTGTTCCAGCTGGCTGCAGAGAAAAAGTTACCACGAGAAAGAGTGATGGAATGCATCTGGAAAACGGCAAGGATTGGATCTCCATGGGAATTTAGTGGAGAGGCAGCTCTGCAGTGCTGGGGCAGAGCTCTCTCTGATCAGCCACTGCTCTCTCCTTCCTAGGCAGCCTGAAATACAAACAATTGTATTTCCTGATTGCTCGGCCCCAGAGACTCCTCAGACTCTACGAAAAATCAAAAAAAACCCTCAGTTTATAACTCACCAAAGCAGCAGTGAAAATCCCAGCACCAAACTGTGGCAACAGCAAACCTCACGTGAAGCTGCAGCTGCACATCCCAAACCTCCACTGCAGAGCTGGCAGGTGCCTTGGGACAGGCACATCACACCAGGATCCCTGCAGGGCTTTCCTAGGACGTGCACACTCTCATCTGACAGCCACAGTGCCACAGGGGAATCAATCTGGAGTATCCAAGGAGCAGCAGCTGGCAGGGTTGCTGTCATAACCTGCCCAGCAATCAGGAATATAGGGAGAAAGCTGGGAAGATGCAATGGGACACAGCTGGGCAAACCACAGCAGCTGTGTCATGAGCAGATCCCTGCAGGAAAAGCTGGGGGGAAGCTCAGGGCCAAGGCTGGTGAGTCAGGCAGGGAGCCTGGGAAGTGGCTGAGCTGAGCCAACAAGGCTCCAGGGCTGAGATAAAACCCTTTGGCAAAAGCCACGGGAAAGAAAGCTGAAGCTTTCCTAGAAAGCTGCTCCACCCACTCCATCCTGGCCAACAGTGTGAGTATTGAAGGGATGCAATAGGTGCTGTAGGAAAATTAGAAGTGAAGAAGGTGTTTGGAGACACAGCCATAATTCCAGTTCCCATGGGAACAATGGGGACAAGCACCTGCTCTGCTCCATCTCACAGAACACAAATTCCTGAATGGTTTGGGTTGGAAGAAACTCTAAATCTCATTTCATTCCACCTCCTGCCATGGGCAGGGCATCCTCCACCAGACCAAGTTGCTCCAAGACCCATCCAACCTGACCTGGCCATCCCAGCAAGAAAAGCAACAACCACACCAGTTGCAAGCCTTGAAGTCTCTCATATCCCTTACAATCCCAGAAATCCCTCCTTGCCCAAATATTGTGGCTGCTGCAGCCTAAAAACCTGAAGGTGTGATGAGCTGTAGTGATGCTGTGTGGAAGGGAAGCACCCAACAGACAGGTGGAAGAGTTTTTCCATGGTAAAATCCAAGCAGGGTTTTCAAAGCACTTGTAAAAGCAGGCACTGCAAAGATCCAGAGGAATCCAGCGTGGCTGGGTTTTAAGGAATGGCCTGGTAGGGTTTGGGTTTAACCTTTTAGGAGGGGCCATTAAAAACACAAGGAAAAGGACTGAGTGACTTCATTACACCAAAATGTCTGCAGGAGACATTTAGAAGGGCGCAAAGCAGGAAGGATGAAAAGACAGCCTTTTTTGAGGGATTACAGCAGCATCAGTGACCACCAATGAGGTCAATCACAATCACAGTGAAGTCAATCACCAACATCTCTGAAGTTTCCACAGGAAGCACCATTTTGTGTGAGCTTTAGAGCAGCTCCCACACCCCCTAAGAGCAAAGACACTTCTCACCTCCCTCCCACACAAGTGCCACCAGCTGGCCACTGCTGCCATTGTCCTCGATGAAAAGTGGCACTGGGGACCACTCAAGTGTCCCCTCCCAGCCGTGCCCTGCAGAGCAAAGGGCAGGAAGCAAGGCAGGGAGTGGTCCTTGAGAGGGAAGCTGCTGCTGCTTGAGGATGGAGCATCCATAAGCTGGGACAACCGAGGCAGCACCAAACCTTGTTAGAGAGTTTCCCTAAAAACCCCGGCAACAGGAACTGGTTTTTGGCATCAGACAGGAAATGGGGGCTGCCAAAACACACCCTGACACTTCCTCTCTGGCCTCATCCCATCCCTGGCTTCACCTCTCTACATTTTTTACCTGGACATGGCATCAGGGTCTCTTTTTGGCCTGAACCATTAATACATCAATATTTATTTTTGCAGTGGCTTAACTGTTTATGTTTCTGTATCTATATATGTGTATCTCCAGAGATTTTCTTCCTTCTCAAAACAGCAATGTGAAACTCTGGCTGATAAAGAGGAGGCACCGGGTTGAAGTAACACAAAGTAAATCCATTTCAACAAGCACACATGGGTCACACTCATATTTACCCCTCTACACACACACATCCCCAAAACAGATCAACAGCAAGAGATTTTTATGTGGATTTATTTTTATTTTTTTACATTATGTTAGAGTTCAAAAAAAAAAAAAAAGGAACCCAACAAAATTAATAAATATTAAAAGTTAAAAAGCTCTGAATCTCGTATGTACAAAACTTTATACATCATGGTAACACTGGACAAGGTCACAGCACAGGGACAACTCCATGCACCCATCTGGTTTAGGAGGGTGCAGGGGATCAGAGTCACCCTCTCCTCCTCTAGACAGGACCAGAGACAGGACAAAGCCACCCAAGATCAGCCTGCCTTCAGCTGGAATAAGTTCCCCATCCCTGGAAGTGTTCAGGGCCAGGATGGGGCTGTCTAGGGGAAGGTGTCCCTGCCCATGGCAGGAGGGCTGGAACTGGATGAGCTGTACAGCTCCTTCCACCCCAAAGCATTCCAGGATCCCATGAAAGCCCTGCAGCATCACCACCCCAGAGCAGCCACGGCTGGTGGGGGAGGTTATCACAGCCTGCTTTAGATCTCCCCCACCTCTCAGGAGATCCTGAGGTCAAAATCAGCACCCACAGTGGAGCCCCCTGCTCAAACGCCCCCAGGGACAGTGGGTGCAAGGAGCTGGGTCAGCTCCCAGCCCCAGCTCTCCCCTGAGGTGTAGGAGGAACCACTGCAAATATTCCTTAAGCAATAAAGCACCGAAGTCTAGGCCAGCACGGAAGAGAGGGGAGCAGCTGGGAATTCCGGAGGAAGGACATCACAGCCCATTTTTGAGGGGAAAGGTCTTTTTGTTATGCTCCTCCGAGAGCAAACAAAGTGATCTTTGGCACAATAAATAAATGCTGGCACTCCCATGGAGGGGCTGGGAAGGGGCACAGCAGTGGTGGAGACATTCCAAGGGATGAACCCCACCCTGGTATCCCCACAGGATCCCCTGTGGGTACCAGTGTGCATGTCCTGGGTCTGGGTATGCCACAGGCACCCTCCATGTGCCCACTCCCACGAGGTGTGCCAGCTGTGTGGCTCAGACAGATGGGGGGTTTGTTCCATGTTTTGGGATGCCTACCTAAGGCCAAAGGGCAGCACCCAGGAGGCCGGGGACCTCCAGCCTCAGGTACTTTAAGAGAAGGTGGAAAAATGCTCGTCCAGCTGTGCCTCAGCAGCAGGAGGGTGTTGGGAAGCCTCAGGAGAGCAAATGCAAAGTCCAAAGTTTAAAACATCCAGAATGCAGAGGGGTCTCCATCCATTTCAGTCAAAGCAAGCACCTCAACCCTGTCACAGTCCATGCCAGACTGAGAAAATCACCCCAGCCACCTCACCAGCAAGCCCTGGCTACCTGCAGAGCTCACAAACACTGTCCCTAGGGATGCCACATCCTATTCCTTGGATACCAAGGAAACAGGAGCCTCAGGGCCAGCGGATGCACCCACACCATGCATGTGCTCCCAAGGACATCCCACTCTGCAATGCCAAACTGGTCTGTCTGCCAAGCCTTGCCTTCCCAGGACTCCACCTCCCCGTTCCCACAACTTCCTACCCCCCAGATGCCCACCTTCCCCTGCCACTGCACCCAGAGGTGCCTTAAGTACCAAAACCATGGAAGCCCCCTCAGGGACACCATTTTCGAGAGGTTTTTGAGGACTGAAACTTGTCAAGGCAAACCCTGTACCCAGTGCTGGCCCAACACCCAGCAAGAAGAGGGCAGCCCAGGGCTCCTAAAGTGCTGTGCAAATGTTTAGTATTTGGCACAATAACTTGTAACAGCATTAATCACCCCTTTCCACCCTTCCCCAAGCAATTAGAGATGCAGATGAATCCTCGTCTCTCTCCTCTCCTTGTAACTGCCCCTAAAATCCACTCCTGGCTTCCCCATCACTCCCATTTCCCCTGGAAGCTGTTGCTGCCCCAGAGACACTGGGTCCAAAGGTGCAGGGATGAGGTAGTGATCCTGGGCACTGGTATCAGCTCAAGGCTGGCCAAGGGCAGTACTGGCTAAAAAACAGTCACCCCCAGGTGATGGGCATTTTTGACACCAATTTTTGGTCTTTGACCTGTGGTACTTATTGCTCACTTTGGAATCTCCTGGATCATTTCCTGCCTCCAGGATTCTATGCTTGTCACATTCCACCTTCCCCCAGACATGTTTCCCAAACTCTCTACCCCAACAAGGACAGCCAAAGTAGCAGTTTGGGATTTCCCCTCTCTTCACCTCACCAGTTTCCCTGCCTAGATTCCCAGGATCCTCCCACTGCTATCCCCAAGCTCCAGGGCTGAAGCACCAAGCCAGGACCCTCCTATCCAGCACATCCTGTGTTGGTGCTTGGAGCAGGGGGAAGGAAAATGCGACATTAAAGCCATCACTCCTCCCACATATTTTTAGCACCTTGGGAGGAAGCAGCCTGTGTACCTGCAGCTTTTTTTGCCCTTTTCCATCTTTTTTCCCACAGCACTGTCAAAAAACGCCATGGCATGACTGGAAGGGCAAGCAGGACCATGGGAAATGAGTGGTTTTCCCAGGAATTTCTGGGTGTGGGGTCAGGTCACTCCCAAACCTGGCAGTGCCACCCCTGAAAACCATTGCTGGAAGTTGGGGGAGAGGAAAAAGATTAAGAGAATGGGAGGGAAGAGGGAGAAAGGCTTTCCCTGCCTCACAGTGAGGTGGTCCCAAGCAGGTTACCTGCCCCCCTGGCCCCTTCCTGGCTCCCTTGGGGCTGGCAGCTCTCCTAGAGAAGCACCACTGCTGGATACCCCAGGGGCCAGAGTGGGGTCCCCAGCAGGCTCCCCCTGAGCCAGGGCAGTGGGGTAGGGGAAGAGCACCAGAGTGGGGCTGGGAGCAGTGGTTCCCAGGGGAATGCTGGAGACAGGGGTTGAACCAGTGCTGGAGGAGGCTTTCTTCCCACAGGATTCGCAGCAGAGCTTGTTGTATCCAGGGATGGAGCAGTAACGAGCCAGAACCTCCATCTGGCAGAAGATAGACTTGTCCCCGAGGCAAGGCTCCCCTGGAGAAGGACAGAACAGCATAAAATAAGGTGGCATTAGGCTGCCAGCCCTGCACCTCTCCAATGGGATTCCCAAAGGGAACAAGGTACCCTTTCTGCCTATCCACACAGGAAGCAGGCAAGAGGGACCTGGAAAATGAAGCTGAAGCACTGAAAAATTCTGTGCATGGAGAAAAAAACAGAAAGTAAGGGATGCTCCAAACCAAAATGCACAGCTATGAAGGACTCCAAAGGGGAAAACCAGGAGCAATCTCCCTCCTTAAAAAAATTCCAAGGTAAAAAGAAAAGGGCATAAAAACCGGGAGGCAAAAGGAGCTCAACATGGGAACTGCAGGACCTCGTACACCACAAGATGGCAATGGAGCAACGTGCTCTGGAGCAGAGAGGCATCGGGGATGCAGCAGCAGAGGCTGAAACTCCCCAGCAGCGCTGCTCTCCCACCTCTGCACTTCCCCGGGAGGGTTATCCTGGGAAACACCACCCTTACACGAGCACTTACTGGAGGAGATCTTGCTCACAGGGTTTTTGGCTCCGTCCTGGGGCACCCGCTGCCCTTTGGTCGTGCCGTGGTCACCGGCATCGACACTGGTGGTGATGCCGGAGAGCTTCCCTGCAGAGAGAACACCATGATGCCCAGCAGCCACAGGAGGCTGAGGGCACTCAAAATATCTCGGGAAGGTGTTTTGTTTGTTTTATGGGATCTCCTTAAAAACTAAATCCCTTAAGCACCCAGCATTTAAGCTGCTCAAACCCCACCTAACATAAACTCAAGGGCATCCATCTCCATCAGCTCATCACACATTCAAACTGCCAGAAAACCCAAAATCAGCCAATGCCAGGGCTAAGAGCAGAGAAGGGAAATATTTTGTCTGGCTTTTAAGTTTTTTTTACTGCCAGCCACATCAGGGACGTTCAAGCCAACCTTGTCCACTGGCATCTCTGGTTGATCCCCACCAGCACATGCCCCATCCCAGTGCCTCCTCTCACCCGGGCAGAGGGCCACGTGGCAGCCCTGGATGGCCTCTGGCTTGTCACCCTCGCAGCGTGCGCTGCTGTCACCACCCTTGCACACCACCTGCCGCTGCTGGACACCTTCCCCGCAGGTCACCGAGCACTGCACCCAGACAGACAGACAGACAGTCAGCAACGGCATGGGGACAGCCCCCACATCCCCCAGGATGTGGTGGTGACTGTTCCTCAGGTGGATTTTGCTTTCTGATATGGGGTTTCCCTCCCTGTCTCCCAAACCCCCACGGTCTCTGCACAGCAATGCTCTCTCCTCTCTCGTTTTTCCTTGTACCCTTATTCCCAGAAGTTTTCAAAGCCAGGCTTGGAGCAACCTGGTCTAGTGAAAGGTGACATGATCAAGGCAAGGGGTTGGAATGAGATAGGTTTTAAGGTCCCTTCCAACCCAAACCATTCCAGGATTCTGTAAAAACATCACTGTCTCTTGTACCCGTATCTCCACCAAGGCCAGGCTGGATGAGAATCTGAGCAACCTGGTCTAATGGAAAGTGTCCCCATCCATGACAGCAGGGTTGGACTAGATGACCTTTACAGCTCCCTTTGAACCAAACCACTCTAGGATTCTACTCCATGACCCCTACAAGCACCTGACCTTCACACCCACCTCCCGTACCCTCCTTCCAGGGGCTTCCTCACCTCGGACCAGGCTCCTGTCCTCCACTGTGCGGGGCAGGGCAGGCGGCCGCAGGGCCGGCGTGTCTCGGGGCGCTGCCCCGGGCAGTATTTGGTGTGCAGGGTGCGGTTGCTGCCATCCTGCAGGCGCTGCAAGCACTGCACCGCCCGCGCCTGCACCCCCAGCTTCCCGCAGGAGCGGCTGCACGCACCCCACTCCTCAGCCACCCACCTGCCAGGGTGGGAACATGGACAAGGAGAAGGCATTTAAGGCAATGCTTATGCTGGGAAGCAGCTGGAAACGCTCCCAATGCGACCCCAGGCCACCCCCATGAGGAATGGGAGCACCTCGGGCCGCACAGAGAGGACTTACATGGGCTGGGAGCATTCCTGGAGGTTACAGCGCCTCCGGATTGGCTTTGGCTTCTTGCCGTTGTCACAGAAGTTCCTGTGCACCATCCGGCTGTCGCTCTTGCGACGGCAGCCGTACTTGGTGTACTGGATGCCTGAGGGGGCAGAGTGTGGGCAATGAGGTGGTGCATGTGGGATCCCTGCAGCTTCCTCCTGGTCTTCTCCTGCACCCCTGCTGGGATATGTGCCCCCAGATGTCACCACTCAGGTGGGACCCAAGGTTTGCTAAGAATGTTCCTGTGGCTGCTGAACCCACCACTGAGTTCCCCAGCCCATGGAAAATGACCCAGCCCACAGGAGGGGTTTGGACCAGGTGATCTTTGAAAGCTCCTTCCAACACAAACCACTCTGATTCCCAGAGCACAAGGTGCTCCTCATGATCGAAGGGCCAGATCCCAGTGGCCATATGGAAATGAAGCTTTCACCAGCAAACCTCACGCCTACTTCTGCACAAACTTTAGTAGTGGTCATTTTTAAAATCACTGCTTCTTGGCTCAAATCCAGTTAGAACAGCCAAGGAATTCAAAAATCCTAGCAGGTCCACAGGTAGACAAAGGTACACACACCCAATCACGCAAGCCTGTTTCTGTAAGAAATCCAGCTAAAATGCTCACTTGAACTGCTTTGCAATGACTTCTCCTTGCCAGAGATGCCCCAAGGGGCTCACACACCCTCTACCATACCCAACACCCCCAGGCATGCCCTGTAGGCTGTTATGAAGAGAAGTTACCTCCTCCACACGCCTTGGAGCACTGGGACCAGCTCTTGAGGGCCCACTCGTAGGAATCCATCTCCTCCAGCAGGACATTGTTATTTCCAATCATGGGCAGTAGGTCTTCGTGGATGATGTAGCGGTACATGAGGCTGCTCCTCACCTCCTCCTCCTGAGGGATGACCTGCAGGCCCAGAGGGAGCAGAGGGCAGAAGAATGATGCCATGGGAAAGGGACCACGTGGCAGGGCAGCCTACGCCCAAAACTGGGACAGAGGGATGGATGGGAGCACAGACCTGCCATTCCCCACATATCCAGGGAACCCAACCTCTAATTCCCCACAGACCAGCATAACTAAAATGGCATTTGGAGTCATAAACAACTGCTGCAGAGCAAAACGCAGCAACACATCCTTGTGCCATTCCCTCACGCAGCTGGTCACCCTTTGGTGCTTTTGGCTGGCTCATTCCCTGGATTTAATGACATGCCCTCTTCCTCTACCCACATCCTTCCATCACCTGCCACATACATTACACCTCAGACCACCTCCCCTGTCTGTGACAGTTGTCCCCAACCCCCCAGAGCATGTGCCAGCCAGGCTTACCAAAACACTGATGGCCTCGTGCAGGGGACCGCTGGTTTTCAGGCTCTCCTTGCCTTGTTCCACAGTGTATTCCCACTCCAAGCCCATCTCAATGAACACCTGGCTTTTGGCTTCCTGGCCCTTGGCATTCAGGATGAAGTTCCCCGTGGCTTGATTCTTAACAGCTGGAGGAGAAAGGAGGTATTTTCAATATCATTCCCTCTGGTCACTCACTTGGAGGATGGGAATGACCTACACAACACCCTCTTTGGTGGGAATTATGAGAAAAGGGTTGAGAAAGAGTGAAAGAGAGGTGGATTAGGGCATGCTCACCAATGCTGTGGGATGCTGGCTCCATCTCTTCTATCTGAAGGTGCCTTGCTCCAGCTGGGATCTCAAACATCTTCAAAACACCTGAAAGGGAGTGAAGAAGGATGGAAGGAAGAGAAACAGCAGGTTTCCTCCAACTGGACACAGGAATCCAGCTTGTGAATCTGCTTCCAAACTCACCCAGCCCTCTCACCTGGCTGCTTGGGGGTCTTGGCCAGCGTGCCCTTCACCGTCCGGCAGTGGGAATTGTCCCCACCACAGACCCCACACTTGTCATCCTGCTTCAGGGAGCCAACCTCCTTGTCACAGCCAACGTGCTGGCACCCAGGGGAGGAAAGGACAAGCCTGGAGTTACATGCCTGAGGTCCAGCCTGGGATTACAGCCCTGCAGCCCAGCCCAGGGTTACAGCCCTGCAGCCCAGCCCAGGGTTACAACTCTGTGGCCCAGCCCATCACTCCACCATCTCCCTTTGCTACACAAAGGCTTGGTCCCCAGGGGCAAAATCCCATGCCCCCAAGGGGCTGGACTCTCTCCTGGCCAGGGGAAGGACAGGGACAGCCCCACAAGAGCTCCTCACCACGCACTCGCCCCGGACACAGACGCTGTAGGGGTCTTGGTAGCTGCAGCGGGTCCCGTCGTGAACAACCTGGTTCATGAACACCACGTCTCCCGTGCCCTCGGACTGACAGATCAGCTCACACTTCTGAGCATCTGTGACAAAGGAAAAGGAAAAGGGAGAAAAAGAGAGGTGGGGGTGGGAAAAGGAGTTGTGGAAATTCATAACAATGAGTGAAGAGAGAAACTCATCTCAGCTTGTACCCCTGAGCACAGCCACAATTCCAAAGCCCAGGATATTCATGTGGCTGATTTCCAAGGCTATTTGCAGCTCAGGAGCCTGCACTTTTGCCTAGTACACTCAGGAAATGAAGGGAAGGACAGGACATACTACATGAGGCTGCAATGTAAGTAGGCAGCTCTGCTCTGGAAACAGGCTGGGAGAGCTGTGGGTGTTCAGCCCCAAGAACAGAAGGCTCTACGGATAACTTAGAGCCCCTTCCAGTGCCTGAAGAGGCTCCAAGAAAGCTGGAGAGGGACTTTGGACAAGAAGAAAGGCGTGACAGGACAAGGGGAAATGGCTTCAAACTGACAGAAGGCACAGTTAGATGGGGTATTGGAAAGAAAATCTATATTGTGAAGGTGGGGAGGCCCTGGCACAGGTTGCCCAGAGAAGAAGTGGCTGCTTCCTAATCCCTGGAAGTGTTCTTCCAACTGTAAGCTGGTCTAGTGGAAGGTGTCCCTCCCTGCCCACGGCTGCAGGGCTGAAATGAGATCATCATTAAGGTCACTTCCAACCCAGACCATTTTGTGATTCCATGATTTTAAAAAGCTGGCTGCTCAATGTCAGCTTATTGCACAACAGTTTCCAGCCCAGGAGCTTCCCATCACCCAACACCTGTGCAGCTGGCACAGTCTCCATCCCAGGCTGACGGCCACCAGGGCAGAGTCCTCTGGAGGAATTTGGCTACTGCTCCTTTGCTAGGACCCGCCACCACTCACCATCATGATGCTCGTAGGGAAGCCAGGAGTGTTTGCTGTTCTGGTGGGTGTAGTAGGAGTTGCGCTTGGAGCACTGCTGGGCACGGAAATCCTGGTAGGGCCCCGGGCACTCCTCGGCGTTGCACACCTGGTACTCGTAGGTGGCTCCCGGGCACTGGCGCCCTCCGTATGCTGGGCTGGAAAAGAAACCCAGTGCCTTGTGAGAGCGCTGGAGGGGGATGGTGCTCAAGCCCAGCACAGCTCAGTGCCCAAACGCACGGTACAGCTCCCGCAGGAACTGATGTCCCCATCCCTGCCAACAAGGGGAAGAGCCAGGAACCTCTGGCTCGCGGCACTTCCAGCTGGGAAAAGGGAGGGAGGCAGAACCCGGACGTACGGCGGGTGGTCGCAGCTGCGGCTGCGGGATCGCACGCCTCCCCCGCAGGTCCTGGAGCACGAGCCGAACTTGGACCAGGAGCTCCAGCTGCCATCCTGGCTGTAAGGCTGCTCCGACGTCTTCCAGATGCAGTGGCCCTTGAAGCACCACTGGAAGGGAGGAGAAGGAAAGAGTTCCAGACCTCTTCCAAAGCGCTCAGCACCAGTGGAGAGCCCTCCTGCACTCACAGCACTACAGAAACGGTAAAGCACAGGAGGAAGGGGCTCTTCATCATGCCCTCGGACACATCCCTCCCACAGGAAGCAGGACCAGCCCCTACCTTGCCAGGAGAGCACTCGGTCCCATCCAAGGGCGGTCCCTTCTTAGTCTTGCAGAAGTAGGGGTTGTCCGGGTGGCTGCACCACAGCTGCTTGCAGGGGTCAAAGGTGCGGAACTGGGGGCACAGAGGAGCTGGGCTGGGACAGCAGCAGCGAGTAGCAGCAGGCTGGTGGCAGCCAGACTGGCTGAGGACCCCAGGGAGGGGGGACAGCGTGGCCATACAGCCCCGTACTCACCGCCGTGCACGTCTTGTACCCCACGCCGAAGTCGAAGCGGCACTGCTCGTCCATGGAATAATTAATTCCCGGCAACTCAGGTAATGTGGGCCACTGGTGCTCAAAGGGGTCATCCAGGAGGCAGTTGTAGGAGCTGCAGAGAGAGGATCTCCTTCCATCACCCCATCCCTCAGTTCCAGGCCACTCTCCAAATTCATCTACTGAGAAATTTGAATTCTCATGGAATCCCAGAATGGTTTGGGTTGGAATGGTCCTTCAAGGCCATAGAGTTCCACCCCCCTGCCATGGGCAGGGACACCTTCCACTAGACCAGGCTGCCCCAAACCCCATCCAACCTGGCCTTGGATACTTTCAGGGATCCAGGGGCAGCCACAGCTCCTCTGGACAACCTGCAAGGGCCTCACCTCCCTCACAGGGAAGAACTTTTTCCTAATATCCCATCTAACCCTACTCTCTGTCAGTGGGAGGCCATTCTCCCTTGTCCAAAGTCCCTCTCCAGCTCTCTCAGAACCCCTTCAGGCACTGAAGAGGCTCCAAGGTCTCCCTGGAGCCTTCTGCCCTTCACGCCAAACACCCCCAGCTCTCCCAGCCTGGCTCCAGAGGCACTCCAGCCCTGGGAGCACCTTTGGGTACCAAAAGCCACCAGTCAGGGTCTGAAGGGAGACCACCCCCCGACCCCGGCTGGAAGGCTCATACTGGATGTAGCGGCTGAGCTCCTGCTTGCTGCAGCGGGACCAGTGGTAGCGGTGGAAGGCGGCCTGGACCAGCGGCGCCATGATGCTCCCCATGCTGGTCTCATCGGAGCAGCGGTTGCCCTGGCCGTCGTGCTCCATGCCCAACCTGGTGGGAAAACCCCAAGGGATTCACAGCTGCAGCAGCAGAAAGCCCCCTCTGCAAACAGAGGGGCACCATCACTGCCAGCTCTGCCCCCAGACTTACACGTGCCCGGTCTCATGGGCGACGACGAAGGCTGAGGAGAAGCCGTCCTCGTGGTTGAGGGTGCAGCTGCGGAGGGGGTGGCACATCCCCGTCACCGGAGCGTAGCCTGGGGCAAAGACAGGAGGGAAGGACAGAGGAGAGGAGAGAGAAAATCTTTGAGAGAGGAGGGGAAAAATGAAAAATTAAGGGGAAAAAAAAAAAAGTGCCAAATCCACAAATACATAATCTGGCTTCACTGCAATAGAAGAGAAAACAGAGGGGAAGGCTGAAGAGGAGGGACTGCCCAGGTCACTTGGATGGCTGCCCAAGGACTGGCTCAGCAGTGTGTGCCAAAAGCCAGCAGAGGTTGCCATGGGGCTTGCTGGCACCACTCTGCCCTGGTGCCAACACACCTGTGCAGGCAGGAGGGCAGAAACAGCACCCACAACACCCTGTCATTGTGGGTGGCCACCGCCTCCCAGCCAGGAATGGCATCCCCCACATTCTTCTTCATTTAAAACAAACAAATAAGGAAAGAGAGAAAGAAGAAAAGGCGTGAAGCGCTCCCCAGAGCCCTGCCAAAACCACAGCCCTGATCCCCATGGGGTGTACCCACACATGCACCCACCCTGGCCCCAGGACCCCAGACCTCGATCAAGTGCAGTGCAGTGGGGCAGCTGTGGGCAGAGGAATCTTCCCCCGCCCAGGCAGCAACACATCACCTTTTCCTTTCTTTTTCACCTTATTTTTGTCCAATTGAATTAACTTGCCGGCACACTCCAGAATTTACTCCCCAAAGTTTTTTTACGTGTGTTGTTTTTTTTTTAAGGATGACCCTTTTTGGCATCAAGGAAGTTAGTGAAGGAGGCCTTAAAGGTCAGAGAGGCAAAAGCAGGGCAGGCCCATGCTGGATAACTGGGGATTGGCATGCTGGAAGAGGAGAGCTCAGCAAGCCAGGAATAGGCAGCAGCAGGAGAGGGATGCTGATAAGCTGACCCTACACCCACCCTGGCCAAACCACAGGGTCCACAGAGCCCCCCATCCTTGTGGGATACTTGATCCACACCAAGTCACTCCCATAATGGGGCTTAACCATAGAGTAATAAATCAAGTCCTGGATAAATATTTGAAAATATTTTTTTACCCCCATGAAACTTTCCACAAGAAAGAATAAAGTTGTGGGAAACTTTCTCTACAAGGGGAGGGCAAATTTATTTTGTCTAGGATGAAAACTGGATAAATTCCCAACCAAGGAAGCTGTGGTTGGGAGATGGGACAAAGGAATATGAAAAGGTGGATGCTCACAAAGGCAAGTTTTTTGTAAGGAAGACCCCAGTAAGAATTGGAAGGAGTATAAAAGGTTCTCCACAGGAGAACAATAGGAAGAAGCAACTACCTGGAAAATATTTAATTCTGAGAACAAGCATCCTTCAGGCCAGGCCAGAATACCCCTCTGTGCCACTCACTGCAGAGGGACAAGACCTCTACAGCAGCAATTAATAACCCATTACAACCCATCTCTCCACTGCTTTTCTCTTCAGAGGGCATATTTGGGATAATTTGGTGCCACGCTCTTGTTCTTCATTCCACACATCCCCAAGCTTAACAGGGCATTGGGGATCCACAAGGATTTTGTTTTGGGGAAAACAGGCAAGAGCAAGCACAGTGTTACTATTCCAGCAGCCCAATCAGAAGGAAATTCCCAGTGGATGAGAAGCACCTTGTGCCATGCAGCACAGCCAGACAAGGACATGGGGACTTCCACAGAAAGTCCTGGAGATGTGTGACAAGCAAAGAGCCAGATCCGTAGGGAAAAAGGGAAGGAGCTGCTGGAAGGAGCACCCCTAGAGCAGGGCTACTCCACTGCTCTCATGACTCCTTCCCACCAAGGAGCAGCCTAGGGAGTCTCCCCCTTCTGCCAAAAAAGGTCCTCTCACCAATGCCTTTGGACACAGTCACTTTGCCAGGAAGGATCTAGAAAAACGAAACAAAAGCTGGTATTTCACCCGTGTGACTCTGGATAAGGAGACCAGGGCAGAGATAAGGTCACCAGCTTGGCACAACCCAAGGTCTGCTATTTGGTGGCCACAGGCACATTGAGGAGGGTTTCCAGCTGGATTTCTCCTGAGGTTCATCTCCTGCTGAGGAAGATCCTTCTCAGGGAGGTAATCCAAGTTAGGACAGGTTTCCTTCTTCACCCTTCCTTCCTCCTGTGCACACCTGGAGGATTTGTGCTATAGATCAGGGTGACAATACCCACCCCACTCACAGCATCGAACGGAGCCACCTGACAGAAATCCAGACCTGGCCAGCAGCATGAAAAGGAGGAGATGGGAATTTGGAAGCAAGCAGGCTCAGAACTGGGAAAAGTCATCTCTCCTGGTAACACCAAAGCACCTGTTTTCCTAATGGAGCCATGAAACACCAGAAGATTTTCCTGAAAATTTTTATTAGCAAGGCCTCCAACTTCTCAGACCACACCAGCACAATCTCTGCACCAAGAGGGTGAGAGATTACTGCAGTAAAATTTCCTCTTTGGCCCAGGGATTATTGAATGCTCCCATATCCAAGAAATAAATCGATATAAAAATAGGCTTTAAAGTCCTCCAGAGGACAGAATAAGTTGATTGATTCTGTGGGGCTTCTGTGTTATTTCATCTCTTTTTTTATCTTATTTTTGTATTTTTAAGGTGTTTTGGGCCAAGGGGAGGACTGGTAAATGAAATCAAAGAGCAAGGGAATAAATAAATAAAGATATTTTATCCATTCAGCCTGATGCTCTGGTTTAATTCTCTGTCTCTCTCTTCTTCATCATGTGAAGAAAAAAAATACCGATTTTTATAACCTTTTTCTGGACCTTGCTGGCCAAGAAACAGACTGTGATTGCAAGAAAATCCTCTCACCCCTCGCTGGCTTTCCCCCCCGCCCCCGACAAACTGCACATACCTGATCGAGACAAATACAGTACCTTGCATACCTGCGGGCCCAAAATCTTGCCTGGTGAGGAAGATGGCGTGGTCGTGGTACTCGGCGTGCTGGGGGTCGGGGCGCTGCTGCGAGTGCGCCCAGCGGCACACCTGCTCCAGGCTCCGCGACGGGTTACCCCGCTCGATCAGGCTGACCGACTGCGGAGAAATGGGAAACTGCTGCTGGGGAGGGCAGGGACACGCACTGCCCTTCCCCTGGGGGCTAAGCAGGGGAGGTAAGAAGCTGCAGGAGGAATCGCCCAGGAAGCATCAGATCGAAACAGCGAGCGCCTGGATTGAAATATCTGCTCCTTATTATCGTCCCCTGAACCTAAGAAATGATGTAGCTGGACAAAGCAGCCGCCTCCAGCACTGGCTTTGGGGAGAATAAATCATCCCGAACAGAGCCTAGCAGTTCCCACCCTGCTGTATCACCACAGCTCCAAATCCCTTCCCCTCCTCAGACCAACCCCTAGCCCAGTCACTGGGATGAAGCCAAACGGATTGTTGGCTGTCTCAGCTAGAGATGATGTTCCTGGTCCCATGGAAGCCTCCAAAAATGGGCCAGCCTTCATCCTTATCCCTGCTCCTCAGAACCATCCCTGGATCTCCAGGATGTGTTGAGTTTCTGCCAGCCAAGCATATTTCTATAATAAGGAAGTTTTTTCCCAAGACCTAACCTGTCCTATTTGTGGATCACACACACACACAGACATCACTATGTTGAGTCATTAACACCCTTGCTAAATCACTTCCTGTGGGACAGGGGCTTGCCCCAAAAAAGTACAGAAAATCACATTGTTTTAAAAAAAATCTGGCTGTTGTGCTTGAACACGCCTTAAAAAATAAGTGCAGCCTGAGAAACCACAGGAAAACTTCTCAGGAAAGTTTCCCATGCTTTTCCTGGCCATGCCCAAGCCACACGAAAGCTACAGGACAGCCAGGGAGACAGGCAAGGAGATCTCAGCATCACCTTTTCCTCACTGATGTCCAGATCCTCTCAGTGTGGGAAGCCACCTTTACTCCATCATCTAGAGAGCTCTGAGGAGGACTCTGTGGTTTTCCCCACATCCCAGAGCAAGCACACAACAGAAGATCACAGCCACCCTGAGGGCCTCGTATCCAGGCCCTCAGCCCCCAAAAACCAGGCTAAGGAAGGTTCAAATTAACCTCTGCTCAGCACAGTTGTCATTTGGGCTCCGATAACTGCCACGTTTTCCCAAGGCTGGGCTTACCCAAGTGCTAAATAAACATTAGAGCATCTCCTGCTGGACTTACCTGACGATATCCCACCATGATCATCCTGACCAGCACGATGTTGATGTGGATGCCCAGCGACTCGTCATGATAAATTTCATCCACCTGAGGAAGGGAGGGAAATCCAACAGGGAAGAAGTTAAGGCTATCCCAGCTCTCAAGCCCCTCCTGTCCTCCATGCTCCCACGTTCCACACCCTTCCAGGCTTTCCAAGACCAGGTGCAAAGATCTCATCTCTCTCCTCCCACTGCAGGGAGGATTTTTTCCCCCATTTTCCCACGTGTAACAAGCACAGAGCCAACAAGCCAAGTTGGAATAAGCCAAAATTTCCCCAGGAATGGCTCAGATGGTCAATGACATCACCCATTTCCATCAAGGGCTGTATTTCCCGCACCTCATTTCTCAATGACCCATTGCCTCTTTAGAATATGAATCCTTCAGAGGGATGGAAATGCTCCAGACTCCAGCATCCAAAGGAAAATCAGCTTTTTGATACAATACTTTGCCTCTCCCCAAAGCCAGGGCTTTCCTCAGTCACATCAGTGAGTCAAATCTGACCTATGGCTCCAGAAATCTCAGGAGAAGGCAACACAATGAAGAGAACAGGGAGGGCTCATGAGTCAGTGAGATTTGTACCATCCTCGGCTATTAAAAATGACCTTGCAAAGGAAATAACCAGATACAACCTCTTCCTTCTGCACCTCCAGGATGAATAAACAAATTCTACTCCTAAATGCTACCAAGAGAGTAGGACACCCAGATGGGAAATGTCTCTGAGAGCTGAGCCCAGTGACATGGAGAGAGGCATGGAGTGGGCAACCACAAACCCACGCGAGACCCTGCACCTCCTGCAAAGCACGTGGGAAAACACAGCCCAGGGAAGAAACACACCCTGATTTCTGAGAATGGGGCTTTCTTTTTCCTAAAAAGCTTCGCAAATGAACAGTTCCACAAATGGGGGCTCACTGCAGAAGTTGAAGAGACTGAACTAAGACAATTTTTAATATTGACTAGAATTCATGTTTTAATTAAAATATACTTTTCAAGCTTTGCCAAAAGGGGGACTAATTTGCCTCAGTTCTAGCCTTCCAGACTAGATGAAGGTTATAAAGTCAGATTTATTGATCTTTTCTATTTTTTCCTCCATGCCTTTGGTGTTTTTCAATTTTACATCAAAGGCTGGGTAACAACTACCCTTTTACCGCTGCCCAAGTCCATGTCAGCCTCTCCCCAGTGTTTTACAAGCCCCCCATTTTCCAGCCTGGGATTCCATTTGAAATACCCACTCAGGCCAGTTTTAAACCCAAAAACCCAGTGTTAACCTTTTCCCTGTGACAACCAATACTCCCATGGGATGCCTCCGAGCCATGCAGAGAGGTAATGCAGATCCTGAGCCTTGAATGCAGCAAAATCAATTATAAAAAAATTAAAACTAATCAATAAACTTCCAGTCCCTCCTCATTAATGCATCCCTTTGGATGTAGAAGCTGCAAGAGCCGCGGGGTATTTTATCTATCAGTGTGGAAAAATAACTCACTGGTCAACCCACCCTCAGTTCATCCCTACTTTCTGTGGGCGAGTTGCTCCTTCACCCTCTCCTTTTTGTACGAATAATGAGAATATGATGGATTTTTTCTGATCCCAACCCTATTTTTTTGGGGATGTGCACAGAAGGGTGGAAGGTCATGCAGTGTTGCAGCTGCAAACATTACTCAGGCCTCCAGACCCACTGAGGTATGAAGGATCCAACCCAGCAAGGAGCTGCAACTCCCCAGGGATGTCAGGCTGGGTTTTAGGATGGAGGAGGCTTTGGCATCCGGGAACAATCCCACGTCATTAGTTTGATTACAAAAAGATTGGTAATATGGCAGGGTGGGAAAGCAGGGAGAGAGGGAAAAATTAAAACCATGCTTGAAGAGATGCAGAGCTGGACCTGGGGGGTGGTGTGGGGAACAGGACAGGAAACACAACCATTTCCTTCACTTTACCAAACCATCACACATTTTCCTTCACCCCCAGCACTTGTCAGAAGCTGGAGCTCCAGACTGAGAGAGGGTAGGGTAAGATGGGATACCGGGAAGGAACTCAGGGAGGTGAGGCCCTGGCACAGGCTGCCCAGAGAAACTGTGGCTGCCCTATTCCTGGAAGTGTCCAAGGTCAGGTTTGACTGAGCTTGGACCAACCTGGGATGGTTGAAGGTGTCCCTGCAAATAGCAGGGGGTAGGAATGGGATGAGCTTTCATGTACCTTCCAAACCATTCCATGATTTTAGGATTTTATGGTCATCCACCAGTGCTCTGCTGCTTGCTGCCTGCTCCTGAGGACCCCTCAATCCATCAGGATGAACCATGTTCCTGCCTTAGGGACCTCCCAACCAGCCACAACCTGACCTTGCTGTGACTGGGAGCATCACGTGGAGCAGCACAGACCTCTCCCTTCCCAGGTGCACAGGATATTTTGGCAGGATGCTCAGTAGATCCTGCTGTATTATTCCAAGATGGGATTTAATTCCATAAATCTTCCTTATAAAGCAGTGCTAAATCCATTCTCCTCCAGCTCGCAGGGGCCTGGTATTCCCTCAGTGTGGTACTCCATTTCAGCCCTCCCTGGGACTCCATTTCAGCCTCTGAAATGAAGAGTTAACCTAAAGCCCAGCCCCTGTTTAGTCCAGGGTTTAGGCAGGGATCTGCACCTAAATGATACCAGCTCAGCAGCAACCTTTAAGGTTAATTCAGAAAGCAGATGTGGAACCAAACTGCCCAAGGCTACAGACTTCCCTTCACAGCCAGATATAAATTACTGATTGGGAGGGGGGAAAGAATCATATCAAAAGGACTTAGTGCTGGCTGCTGCAAGGGCTGCAACCCTGCAGGCCCCAAATTTTGGGGCAGGGGGGAACATCAGCAGGGCCCCAAGTGCTCCAGTGCCTGTGGAAGAAGTGGCGATGGAACTGCAGGGATTGAGCATCACCTTGGAAATGGAAATTCACCTGAAGAGCAGTTTTCAGGCTTGGCACAACTCCCCCTGCCCTCTGCACATGCCATTAAGCAAGTCAGTGTCTTCAGAAAAACCCCTTCCCCAAAAATATCTGTTCAGCAAAGGGCTCCAGTAAAAAATACTTATTTTTATATGAAAAAAAAATATCCCTGAAGCCATGGGATAAAGATCTTATCCCTCTCATCCATGCTCAGCCTGCTTCATACCATCAACTGGGAAGAAATGCTCTCCTCTTTCATTTAAAATGGAATCTTCCCACCTATAAACAGCCCAGCCCTTAAGGCTCACTGTAATTTAAGGACAAACCAGCAGGAACAACTACCCCATAGGACTCCCCCCAAACCCTGCAACAGCAAGGAGGCAGTGGCATTGCTTTATGGTGAAAGGAATGTTACAACCTGGGAGCAGGGCAGGCTGCCTCCCTAAATCCCTGCAAACCTCTGGCCAGCCCCGAGTCTGCAGCCCCAGACGCACGATCCCGACAGCAAAACCGCACTGGCAGTGAGGTCTAGACCTCGCTGTTCTTCAGGGAAAGAAAACAAAGGGAGAGACACAAGAAGAATTTGCCAAACCAGCAGAATAGCTGACATTTCAAAATGCCAGGATCGCTTACTCGGAACAGCCAAGTCATCTTCAAACTCCTTTCATTTATTCCCTCGCTCGGTTTTCATGCCGGTGGATTCACCCTGAACCTCTTTGCTGGGACTGGGGGGTTAGGAAGGGAGGGGAAAATCCCCCTTAGTGCATTTTTAAGCTTGCATAATGCACAGTGTCACCTTCACCTCTGTGAGGGCTGACCCACATTATCTGTGGGGAGGAACAGAGGAAGGGGAGACTTGTTCTGCAGAGCAAGTCTAGATTTGATCAGAGCACTCTAAAGAACAAGGCATATTGTCCCAAACATACACATAACATACATTCTCTATACAGGGAAAAGTGCATGGACGCATGAGAAATATCAGAGGTATTTTTGTTAATATCAGTTAGCAAGGAAGTGGCTCATAAACCCCTCACCTAAGAAAAAAACACACACAGGTTAAAATTAAAGCTGAAGGTTTAATTTTTGTTCCCAAACCTTCTCTTCTGTGGGGTCTCAGTAGCACTCTTTGTTGCTCTGCCCTTGGGAACAATAATTTCAGCTGGAGCCAGGCAAGTCCCAGCCTGGAGAGGGCTCTGACTCATAGGGTTTCCCTAGTAACCCGAAACAATGAGAAAACACCAAGAACCTTTGCATCCTTAGCCAAATCATGGGCAATATCAGACAAAAGCCCAGGAACCCAATTGAGGCCAGGGCCAGGTTTAACATAGCCATAGCTTGGCTTCTCCCCTCCAAGTGGAGCCACCCTAAGACTTGAAGGATCAGGGATGAGCAGTGGGAAGTCTTGTGGAGAAAACCAAGAAACCCAACTCCCTGAAAGCAAGAGACTGGAAAGCAGAGCCAAACACTGAATATTTCCTCTCCTCTTCCTTTTCCAGGGTGCTGGATCCCCTCCTGGTTCCCAGCCCTTGATCTCAGCAGCCACCATGGCTGTAGGATCCAAATTTTCCTTCTAACAACATCACAATCCCTGCCACAGGCAGCAAGCAAGAGAGCTTTGCAGAGCCACCACATCACCAAACATTCATCCCAAGAGCCCAACAGACCAGTTTTTGGTAAGGTGGACACAGCAATGCCCAGCTCAGAGCAGAGATACACTCAGCAACTGATGGCAGAGGGGCAGTTGTGCCTTTCCCACTCGCTCCAACCTGACCCCAAATTCCTGGGCAGCATCTGAGCCAAGAAGGAAAGGGCAGGCTGGGAATGCAGGCTGGAAGCTAGCAGGGAAGGCAGCCTGCCTGCAGGGAAGCTCTTAGGTGCACAAAAGGAGCAGTCATCCTCATTTCAGTTCCCTGGGATGGACACAGAGCCCTTTACTGAAAAGCATCCACATTTCTGGCAATGAAATAAGGGCTGCAGGGTTTGTTTCTTTTCATGAAAAACCTCCTCCGTGACAAATCATTTATCACCAAGCTTCAGCCGACACTGAGTTCCTAATAAAGGGTTTTGTGTCTTGGGAAGAGCCCCGGGACCCTACCTACAGCAGCGCTGGGAAGGGATACATGTCCCACTGCTCCCTCGGCACTCAGCGGAGACCTCAGGAAAAGCCAGGGAAGTTTATCGTTGCTTCCAAACTCGTTGCCCCCTTTCCTTGGGATATATCTTGATAAGAGAGCTCCTAGACAGGAAACTTTCCCAGTTGGCTCCCTGACGTACTCCAGCCCAGCTCGTTAAGTCCTTTCCTCGTTAGAGGGCTGGCCAAGCCTCTCATCCTTCTTCCCTTTGCCTCCATCTAATGGGATTAATGTTCAGCTGTGTGGTCCCAGCAGGCTCCTCCCCGCCAGCCCCCCAGCATCCTCCTCTCTCCCTCCCTCTGCCACCCAGGCCAGAAAGCAGGACTCTTTTTTTCTGCTGAATCGGGTGTTTTAAGGCAATTTGAGCCGCTAAGGAAACGAGGCGGCGCCAAGGGAAGAGGAGGCGGACGGAGGTCACGGCAAAGCTGGAAAGAGAACGCACTAAAAGCCAGAAAGAAAGAAGGGGAAGGGGGTGGCTGGGTGGGGGGAGAATATATAGAAGGAAATAATACTTGGGGAGAAGTATTTGTTGCCTGTATTATCCTGGGGCTCCCCCCCTCCTCTCCATTAAAGTCTCCAGCGCTGCCTTTAATTGAATAGGCAGCGGGTCCTCCCTTCTCCCAGCGCAGCATCCCGCGCATTCACTCCCTGAAAAGTCCTGTCCGCGGGGTAGGAACCATGAAATGCGCCTGAAACCGACCTTTTGATTAGAGCCGACAATTCCCGGGCGCTCAAACTGGCCATCCCGGGCCCCCTTCCCCCCCCCCGGGATCGGAAAGGAAAAATGACCTCATCTCCGACCCCCATAACGTGGGAAGAGCCAGAGAGCAGAGCAGGGAACCCTGTGGCTTCCCCCAGCAGGAGGATTTAATACACCAAGGGGAGAAATGCTTGGAAAGTGAATTTAAGGGATGCTGAGAGCATCAGACGACAGGCATTGGGATAACGTGCCAGAGAATAAAACATTGTGATGAAGATGTGTGCTTCCTCACCATTTTCCCTATTCAGGACCAGCCACTTCACTCATCCTTCACCCCATCACCCTTAATGCCACAAATCCTTCCCCACCATGTTTATCATTTCCCCTTCGTTGCCAGCCATATGGCAGAAATAATGCCCAAACCAACAACCAAGCACCCAAAAGCATCTTTATAACCTGGCCATTCCAGAGCTGGTGGAGCTTTTTGAACATTTTTCACCACTGTGTCAAAGAACACTTAAAGAAAAATAAATAAATAGAGGTGAGGATAAAGCATGGAAAACAAAACAAAACTGGGAGAGAGAAAGAGATCCTTGAGCATAGACCTTATTTGCAGACATTCAGGTGCTGGAAGAGCAAACCTCCCCCAAGATGACTGGATGAATAAATATTGATCCTTCCACATCTCTCAGGACTCAGGGAATACGGATGTTTTTATCTTAGAAAGGAATAAAAGGGGAACCAGCACAGGCTGCCCAGTGCCTCGGAGTAAGGAAGGGTGCAGGAACTGTAAAGCTGCTCTAAACTCCTTTTCAAACATATCCTGAATGGTTATCCAGGTGCACAGGTTTCCAAAAAGCTTCTAGAAAGCTATAAAAATATTTTCTCTATGAACAAATAGTATTCAGAATAAATCATGAACATAATCACTGCAAAACAAATTACAGCTATCGTAATTTCTAACTAAGGAAGCCATGACCATTCTCTTCTCTAGCATTTGCTGAGACTTCAGTGATGAGGAGGAAACATTCTCAGCCAGGAGAAACCTCTGGACTCAGGTGACAGACAGTGACAGCGCCAACATGCCAGACCCTGCCATTGGGTCTGAACAAAGGGCTCTGCTTTCCATCCCTCCAATTCCCACAGCTATTAAACACCAGAGCCAGCTGTGTGAAGGCACAGCCCTTCCTGCAGCACTGCTCCCCCTCCCAAACCCATTTCTTTACCCAGGACAACAAATTTGCAGCATCAGAAGAGCACGAAACCCAGGGATGGGTGGGATCCCCATCGCCCAGAGCTGAGCCTTACTATGTTCATGAGGGTGAGGACGTAGTTCTGGACGTGCTCCTTGCCATGGAAGCGCACGATGGAGTCATCCACGGCCAGCAGCACCTCGATGTTGTAGTCATCCTTCCTGGCGTGGCGCCGCTTGCGCTCCGCGTCCCCCAGCCGCCCCGCCATCAGCTCCAGGGAATTTGGGAGCTCACCCACCTGCACGCCGGGCACTGGGCAGGAAAAGAAAGAGCCTTTGAGGTGATCTGACACTAGGGTGACGCTCCACAGAAGTAGAAATTCAGTAGAAAACCAGATACAAGATTTGACTCTAACGGGATATTGAGCTCCAGCTGGTTGCTGGTCCAGCTCACTCTGTGGTGGGGAAATGGCTCTGAACTGTGAAGACCAACACTAAAAGACATGTTAATGATTGGACTCGAGAACCTTAAAGGTTTTTTCCATACTAAATGATTCTATGATCAGTGAAAAAGTTAAATCAAGGCCACGTTTCATAGAATCATCACAGAATGGTTTGAGTTGGAAGGGACCTTAGAGATCATCCTGTTCCAGACCCTACCATGGGCAGGGACACCTTCCACTAGCCCAGGTTGCTCCAAGCCTCATCCAGCCTGGCCTTGGACACTTTCAGAGTGTTTCAAGTTGTCCACAACTTCTCTGGACAACAACTTCCAGTGCCTCAACACTCTCACAACACAGGTGATCAAAGCAAGACTGCAGCGCCTCCAGCTCAGCATTTCCTGTCCTTCTTCTTGACTTTAGCAGTTAAACTGAGCTGCACAAGGGCTCGTGGGAGGAGAAATCCTCTCCCCACGTGAAATATTTATTACCAGTTGCTGGGAAAGACTGGATTCCAGCAGCCCCTACCTTCAGGATGGAGGTCGTGGCGCGGCTCGGCGCCATCCTGCCGGATGGCTGAGCGCCGATAGACCACGTGGGCCCTCCCGTGCTCCTCTGTGTCCTGCTGGCCCCTCTCCAGGGGCTCAATGAAAAACTCGTTGCTGTCTGTCCGAATCAGGCCAGCCTGGATTCCACAAAGAAACAAGGAAAAGTGGAGAAAAATTATGTGGTTTTATATAAGTGTAGGGGGACACACGCACTCAGTATACTTGTTAAAGATTGACGCATGCACAAGCATGCACAAAGGGGAAAGGCATCCCAAATAATCTTGTTGTGATCCTACTCCATGACACCAGGATGGTTCTAATACCATATTAATCTATGAAAACCCTTAATTTCCCCTGTAGATGGGGAAAAAAAACTGTAGGGAAAAACCGACCAACAAAAAAAAAACAACCTGGCTGCAATTCAATTTGTGTCTTTATATGGCTACGAAACTCTGTTCTGTCTCATCCATGAGTTGTGCTGGACCCTGAACTCAGGGATACAAGGCTGAAGGGGCTCCCAAGACACTCCTGAATCCCCCTGAACCCTTCCCATTCCATTCCCACAGTGCCTTTAGGGTATCTGCCATTTCACTGACACTACGAGCTGCAACAAGAAGGAAGAAAGAGAAACCATTCCCTCTGCCCCATGAAGTACTTGGGAATTAACATAGGGGAATCCTGTTGGAGCAGAAGCTGGAAAGCATTACAACTTCACCTCCCAAACACAGGGAAGATGAATGACAGGGCAAACATCGCTGGAAATGTTGTCCTGACTACCAACCTGCTCCTAATTAACACCAAGCTCCCATCAAATCCCCCTTACATCAGCCTGAGCGCTCACACCCCGCAGCGCCGGCCAGCTCAGACCTCGGGCAAGGCAAAGGATCACCAGGATTTGGCTTCTCTCCCACGGGCAGCCCCCCCAGCTCGGCATTCTTCCCAGCTCCCTGCATGGCGCACACGTGTGCTCCTTGCTCCAGAGCTGCCCACTGTTGAAGAGCTGCCTGGAAAGCACCAGCAGAACATACGGATCTGTTCTTGGAGCAAAACCTACTGGAGTCCCCATGTTGGGGTGTTGGAATGGGTCTCATCAAATAAAAGAGAAGTAAAATATTTACAGAGCTGTAGTTTGGACAGAGGCTGTGGCTCTCCCAAACCCACCTGGCTCTTTGGGTCCCCTTCGTGTTCACATCCCATTGGGTTCATCAGGCAATGGCTCTGTTGGATTCCACCAAATTTCCTGCTCCACTTGGGTATTATTAACTGCTTAACTCCACTGCAAAGCGGGCTTTTGGCTGGTTTTGTTATACCTCCTTCCTGAGGAGTCCAAGTCCTTGCCTGACACACATATCTCAGGTTCTTCCCACAGGAAGAACAGGTCAAACCAGGGCAGCCAGGGGTTGTGCCCCCACCCTTCATCTCCTCAAGGAGATGAAGAACACAGCCAGGTTTAACCAGGAGCACCAGGCAGGGTGGTGGTGATGAGGCAGAGAACAAGCCAGGGAGTCAAACCACCAGTCAGGTTCAGTGATGGTTGGGCGAGGCCACAATGATGGGGCAGGGAACAGAAACACGGAATCCTTTAGGTTGGAAAAGCTCTCCAAGATCATCAAGTTCAACCACTGACCCAGCACTGCCAAGGCCACCACTAAACCACATCCCCAAGTGCCACATTTACACATCTCTTCAATCCCTCCAGGGATGGGGAATACAAGCTGCGTCAGGGCCTGACAACCCCTTCCAAGAAGAAATTCTCCTGATTTCCAGCTCTGAAACATTGTTCTTTGTTATACAATAAGAGAAGGAGCAGAAGCCGCCCCTGCCCCAGGAGGACCTCTTCTGGGACACCACTACCCCCTCCCAGCCCTGCCACGGGGAGTTCTGTTTGGGACCAGGCACCCCAAAGCCGGTTTATGGGTTTAGGGCCAAAGCCGGGACTTGCTGAGTCAGGCAGCTGGAGGAAAGCTGTGCCGCCGCGCCAGGGCAAGGCTGGATTAAAACATGAAAGAGCCTGGTCCCAAGCCACAGTCCACTTGGGTTTGAGCTGCTCTGCAGGTCGTGATTAATTATATCTGACTCAAGGAATAAAGCAGCCCAGACTTTCTCCCAAAGGCAGGATGCAACGCGCTGCCGACTCCGGGGATGACTGACGGCAAAGGGGACAACACAGGGATTTCTGCTGATCAGAGCAGCCCAAGAAATGGAACAGAAGCTGCAGCAGTCACCCTAGCATGCACAAAACTAAATTAAAAAAACAAAACAACCCAAAAAACATCATTGCAAGAGGCATGCGCCAACCTGCCTGCTCACAAAGAGGAGCCGCTCAGGTTGTATTTCAGCATTTTGGGAGGGTTGTAACAGTAGAGAAGCAGCAGAAAAGGTCAGATGCCACCCAAAAAGTTCCACTCGGTTTTTTTTGGGCTTTTTCCAAGAGTTGAATCCCATCCTCAGGGATCAATTAGCCATATGCTTCCCACCCTTGATTTTAATTTGGTTTAATAATACTAAATCAAATTAAATCAATTGGGGCAACTATTACCACTGTTTTTCCTAACATGAGATGCTGTCTGCAGCTCTCAGAGAAGGTACTCCCCAATTAGAAAATGGCCCTTTAAAGAGAATTCCACTGGAAAGAGGGAAACATACACCAAACTCACTCCTGCTAGCTCACAGAGGGTAAAGTGTCTTCCCCAGCTCTCCTGTGCCTCCCCAGGCTAAGGCTGAGATGAACTCCTGCCTCACTAAGGGGGACTCTCGAGGACCCTGAGTAAGGAACTCCCCCAGGAGTTCAGGAAATTCTGACAATTAATACAGCTGAGATGTGGAAAAATTAATAAAGCTGCTGTACCTGACCAGGGAAGCTAACAGGAGGGGGAAATCCAACTGCGTGCATAGTATGTATATTTCTTGTAAGATTTACACACAATTTGGAGAAAAATTCCCAGAAAACCAGGCAGTGTGAACACAGACACCATGGATAACAGTGCTCCCCCTTCACCCAGGGGCATCAGGCATGGTCCAGAGGTGCTCCATCACTATTTTCATGCTTCTCTGCAGCACAGGCTTTTCAGCCCCAACACTTTGCCTTCCTTGACTCCTTTTCCCTGCTCTTCGTGCCAAGATGAGAGGTTTTTGGGGTGGCTACAGGTCAGGCTTTTCCAGGTGACCCGAGCCAAGTCTCAAATGTAGCTCCTGGTGGAATGAGGACATGAAGACACACTCAGCACTAATTACTTAATTGGGTTTTCAGCCCAAACAGGGCCTGGTTTGCATCTCACTGTCAAAACTTGGGATTATCACCTGGGAGAAAAGCCCTCATATCCATATAGCACCCACACCAGCTGAGGCCAGAGGGATCTATATGACTAACGGGACATCTCACAACCTTTTTCTCCCCAAAATTAATGCTACAGCTCAGGAACTGCAAGGAAAATCCTGAAAGACCAAGCCATCATTTTTTCAGTGGGGTATCATTCTGGGGGGCTGTTTCTCCCTCTGCTCCCTATTAATTACTTTTTCTGAGGGCTTTTGTGTTCTGCTTATCTGCTGCCACCATCTGAAGCAAGCCAGCGCCAGGGGGATGGAAAACGCTGCCTCTACGGTTTGCAGCACTAGGGCAAATCACCCCAGGGAAAAGCCAGGCACACAAATATGATGTCTGTGTGGGTGATAATCCTTCACCCACCCCTGCAACCAGCAAAGCAGGAAGGAAGCAAGGTCGACCACACGCTGCTAAAGCCAGCAGGGAAAAATGTGGGATGCCTCCACTGCAGCGAGACGTGTCCGCCGGCGGAGATTTCTGCTAACGCTGCTTTGCCAGTCAGGAATTTGGGGGCTTAGATCAGCTTTGAAATTACATTATGGGCGACAGCACCTTCCCACCCCGGTACGAGACACCCTTGCAAAAAAGGCAAGGCCAGATTCCCACAGGTGGATGCCCACAGCGAATGGCAGCCGTGGAAGGTGCTGCAGCTTTGGCATCTGGAAAAAGGATCGGCTCGCCTACATGGCTAAATATGGATTTAGGAAAGACTTTGGGTGGATTCTCTTTTTCAAGAGCTGAGATCGGGTTTTGGGGTTTTTTTCTTCCTCTCCTCCACTCCCCCCCTGTTATTTATAATCTCAGTCTCTGTTTATACACAGCCTAATCTCTTTGTGTACACAGCCCTCATCCACAGCATCCCAGAGCTCTTCCTCTGGCCAGGAGCCGGCAGCCAAGTGCAGCCCTGCGCCTCCCACGTGTGCTATACTGGGATGCAAAAGCTACAGTCCCCTTCCGACGCTCGTGGGCAACTTCCAGCAAAAGTTCACAGGAATTCCAGGGTCCTTGCTTATGGAACAGTTTCCTCCAGCCCATCAGCAACGTTCCTGACCACGTACATCCCTCCCAGATGCTCTGCTGCTTCTCAGGTCATAAACATCATCCTCCCATCCCATCCACACCTACAACCAGGTTTTGGTTCCATTTCTTGCTCTGTTTCCTAAATCAAGATCTTTTCACTGCATTTTGGGAAACCTCTTGATCTCCCCGCTCCCTCAAAGTAGGTGGATCTTGAGCAGACTGAAGATGTCAGATTCACTTAAGCCCAAGCCAGAAAACCCATGGAAAAAAGAAACCAACTCTATCATAAAGGCAAGAGAGCCAAGCACCTGCCTGTTTTCTCAACCTCATGTCCTTCACCAGACCAGCTCTGGAAATTCCTGGTGGATGCCAGGATATTGATTTGTTGGCCACCAAGCAATAAATTTATTGCAGAAAATAGAAAAAAAAATTCCATGTCCTGGGGGAAAAGCCACTTCTTCCTTTATATGGGCTTAAAAGAGTGGGTTTATCCACAAATGGCAGGATATGACTGCAGAAATCCACATGGAAAAGCATCCTCTGGTACACACTACATCCTAACCCAGCTGGAACAAGGGCAAAAAGAATGACAAACCAACAAGGTGTGCAAGGGGCTGAGATGGGAAAACTTGGGACTAAAGCCTAGGAAAGCCTGGAAAAGTTAAATTAAAGCCTGCTTGGGATTGACACTAACAATACAATCGGCTCTGGGGAAGAAAATCCCCAAAGCTGTGCCACAGCAGGACACGGATCAGCTGCTGAGCACCTCCAGCATCCTCCTGCTCATGATGCCAAAGGGAATAAGATCTGCCACGGAATCTGCACGCTTCAAACCCTGTTCTCTGTTCCAGACCCAGCACTACCTGCTGGGTCTCTAGGAAATGCCTTTAAAGCTTCTAAGCCTGCCCAGATTGGCCAGTCCCAGAGCAATCCGTGTCCCGGAGAAATGTCTGCAAGTCCACAGCCTCAGCCCATTCCCAAAAGGATGCTTCAAAAGGTGTGGATTATGTGCTAAAAAAATTTAGTTCCTATATGTAGGCGAAATACATTTTTCTAGCTGTGCTGCTCTGTCATTTCTGCTTGTACAATAGAATCAGGCGCTGTATAAAAAGAAAGGAATGCCAGATTGCTTGTGCCGGTGGCCAAAATTGGCTTAAGGAGCTCCCAGAATAAAGTAACTAAAAAAGAAATACATAAAAAAAAAATTTTTTTAAAGGCACTAAATAATGCATTTCTTCTAACCTGGCAGTAAAGTTTAAGTGGTACCGGGAGAAAACAGCTAACTCTGACACTTAAAACAAGATTTAAATTGGCTCAAAGGAAATCTGAAGGGCAACGGGCCAAGGGTATTAAAAAATAAGCGCTTCCCCAAGCGTATCAAAGATAGGGAACCCACAGGCAGAGCAGATGCTGGGGATAATGAGGTAACAGAGCCATTTAAAGGAATTAAAGTGCTGTGGCAGCAAGTTACTGATGCTGACCTGTGCTCAGAAAGCCAAGAGCCTCTGAGCCCCTGAGTGATTAGGAAAACAAACAAAAAAAAAAGACACCCTCCTATAAAAAGATGCCTGGTGGGAGCCAGACTGCAGCTAACAGTGATTTCACAAAGTGCTCAAGCTCACACGGCACCATTCAAGAGGTGGGAAATGCAGAGGAAAAGTTCTGGAGCAGTCCCATGGAAAAACACGGGTGGGCAAGGATGGAACAGTATCACCATGAGTGTGTGTTCCTGCACCAGAGGCTGGGCACAGCCCGTGGGGTTAACAGAATCTGGGGAGGAGGCAGCTCAGGCACAGGACTGGCAATTTCTCCAAGCCTTTTAAATAAATATTGGTGCACAGACCACTCTGATGGAGCAGGTAGGTTACACCCAGGGCCACGTGGGGAAAGGGGACCTGCTGCTGTCAAGGCCTAAAGGGCAACAGATGGCACAGACACCTATAGCATCACCAAAAGATCGGGTTTCAGGGCACCAGGATAAATCTCTCAAGAGGAAACCACACCAAAATATAGGCAGCACGCACAAAGCACCTGTGGTAGTTTTGCATGGGAGGCATTTAGGGAAGTGATAATTTTACATTTTGTTTCTTTACATTGTCAGTGAGAAGAAAATGTTGTGAAAATAAGTATTCTGAAGGTTTTGTTCTCATTTTTATTACTCTTTCTTTCAGTTACTGTTAATAATTTTTTTCTGTATACCCTTTTAAAGTTTTGAGCCCACTTTACCGTTCTCCTAATCCTACCTCGCAGCAAAAGGTAAGTACACTAGTGATTATCCAACACTAAAACCCACCACACCCATTAGCACACTGACCTCAAAACTAACAAAATCTCAAATTAACAAACCAAAACCAGCACAGCACCCCACCAGCCTCCAGCTTACCAGTCCGTCGCAGTTGCTGATGGCCACGGCAGCTCCAGGCATCCCGGAGATGTCACCGGTGAAAAGGCACCGCTGCTGAAGGGGTTCGCGGAAAAGCACCTCGAAATCCTCCTGCCACTCCGCCACGGCTCCCGGCGGCACCAGGCGGCTGTTGGGCCGCAGCCGGAGATGCAGCTCCGTCCCGAACACCGTGACGTTGAAGTAGAGCAGGCGGCGCGGGGGGGACCCGGGCGCGGGGCTGCGGGGGACGCGGCGGCGGGACCGGCACCGGGACCGGCACCGGGACCGGGACGGCTCCGGGGGACAGGCGGGCTGGCCAAGCCCCGCCGCCGCGTCGCCGGACACCACGTGCGACAGGAAGCGACCCCGGCAGTCGGTGCTGAAGGGGACGATCACTCCATACTCGCTGAGTTTGCCGGACAGGAGGAGCTCTGCGGAGACAGCGCGAGGGAAAGGGCCGGAGCACGGAGCATCCCGCTCGGGCGCCGGCATCGCGGGGCCCGACGCAACCGAGGGAGCCTTTGGCGAGCACCGCCGGGGCTCCATAAACCCGACGGCTGCTTTTCCGTCCCGACCCAGCTCCGCTTTGTAGTTTTAAGCGGGTGCGTCCAACGTAGCAGAAGGAACTCGGGCTGACGTCCCCTCGCACGCCAAACGCGCCAGCTATTTCTCGCCCAGCCTCCATCTCCCCCAGTTCCCACTGAAACCTAACCCCCACCAGCGGATTCCCTCTCCCTTCTCCCCATCCTCCGGGGCGCAGCCGTCTGTCGGCCCCCCCACCCCTTCCAGCCCGGGCACCCATCCCGCGGGGCAGCGACCGTACCTGGGGCGCTGCCGGCGGCCAGGCAGCCGTGCAGGGGGACGAGGCAGGAGAGCACCAGCCGCAGATAATCCATTTGGGGCCGGCGGCGGGATGCGGGGCCGGCGGGATGCGGGATGCGGGGCGGGCGGCGCCCGGCGACCGCCTCCCCCCGCCGCCGCCGCCGGGGCCGCCGGCGCTCCCGCCGCCGCCGCCGCTTCTGCCGCCTCCCGAGCGGCGTGGGGCGGGCAGGGGGCCGGGTCTGAGCCAGGGGGTGGGAGGTCGGGCTGGTTTGAATTTAATCTTTTTGAATTGTTAAAATTTTTTAAACATAGTTTTCTTATTAAATACGCGGGGTGGGGTAGGGGTGGGGGGTGGGGGGGGAAAGTTCTCGCGTTGCCTGTGGATCGTTCTTTTCTTGGAGATTTAAAAAAAAAAAAAAAAGCCTTTTCGGGCAGCCCTTCCTCCTTCCTTTCCTCCCTCCCACCATCCCTCCTCCCCATCCCTCCCCGCCCCGCGGCCGCCGGGCTTCAGCGCTGCCCGAACAAAGGCGAGATGCGCCGGCGGCCGGGGAGCCCCCCCAGCTCTGCCCCTCTCCCCCAGTCCCACCTCCCGGCCCCTCCGCAGCGGGACCCCGCGCGGAGGGAGATGCTCCATAGGGACGGCCAAATCGTCTCCCAGCTTAGGGCGCTGCCTTCGCGTGAGCTGGAGGTAAACATCCCGTTTGGAAACATCTGGGATGTTTTCCAAATGCGGAAAATTCCCTAACGGACCAACTGAAGATGCCCCATCCCTGGCAGTGTCCAAGGCCAGGTTGGATGGGACTTGGAGCAACCTGGGATAGTGGAAGGTGTCCCTGGCCATGGACAATAAGACGAGTTTTAAGGTCCCTTCCAACCCAAACCATTCCAGGATCCCATTTAATTTTTATTTCTTCCCTCTCCTCCTGTTTTTAGGGGGAAACAGTTGGAAGGAGGTGCTGGCCTTGCTCCTGGATACAATCTTGCTGGCTCTCCAAGGAAAACCCACACTCCCTGGGTTTTCCAAAGGGCATCACCACAGCTCCAGAGCTGGAACCCCACAGTTCAATACATGCTGTGCTTCCTCAGGCTCCTCCTCCTCACCACCCTGACAAGGGGCAAATAAATCCAGTACTCCCATAAAAACCTCAACAGAACTCAACAAACCCAGCACAGGGCTTCCCACATCATAGAACCGTGGAATGGTTTGGATTGGAAGTGACTTTCAAGATCATCTTGCTCCACCCCTTTGCCACAGGCAGGGACACTTTCCACTATCCCAGATTGCTCCAAGCCCCATCTAACCTGTCCCTGGACACTTCCAGGGATGGGGCATCAGCACAGAGGAACAAACCTCCTGTTTCCATTTGCTGTGTACAGCTAATTCTTTCTTCTGGACGGGATCCAAGGCCAGCTCCAGGGAGGGGGTTGTGCTGACCACCAGTAACACCAGCTGTGCTGGTTGTGCTGGGGTTTTGCTGCCGTGGGGCACAGCAGCTCTTCGGGTTATGCTAAGCAACCCAAAACCTTTCCCAAGAGGTAATTCCTGCCTTGAGGAACTTGTCATCCAAGCTACCATACAGGCCAGAGCATGAGGGAAAAGGCAAGCAGGAAAACAACATGCCAGCTTGCAAGCTTCCTGTTGGGAGTTAGGATCCTGGTTTTGGTCTTCTTGGGAGGACCTCAGTTGGAGTTTTGTTCCCAGCACATCAGCACAACAATGCCCAGAACGGTAGGAAAGGATCACCATTTGGGAAAATGCCCTGCTTACCTCCACTGCAGGGTGGGAGGAGGTGGGGCTGCTGGGTGCCAGGATGAAGATCCAGAGTAGGGAGATGGGGAACCCCTTGGAGATGGTCCTGCTGCAGCCATTTCTGGTGAGGCACCACTCTCCTGTGTTCTGCTGCCAGAGCATCCCTCCAGAGGAGGGTGGAGAGCCTTTCCTTCCAGCTGGGTGTTTACGTTGGGTTTTGAGGCAAAAAGGAGAAGCTGAGGCCACAGTGATCAAAATCCAATCCAAAATCCCCTGTAGCTAAAGCCACAGGGTGCCTCCAAAAGAAGAGAGGAATACACTTACTTCAAGTAGAGAATTCCAAGCTGGAAGAAAAATAGATCTTAATTCCCAATTTAAGTCTTTTCGTGCTTCTGTTGCTTCATGCAATCTATAATTAAAGAGGAGAAACTATCTGCAAGAGATTCTTTGCAGGATAGAAAAAGAATTTGTGCTCCGAGCATTTCGGATGATTTCGGAAGATACGCACCCGCTGGAGTTTCAAAGCTGGAACAAGCCCTTATTTTGGCTGAATAGATTTATGAGGAAACATCTAATAAAGGGCATACTTTACTTGTGAAGAACAGCTCTGGAAAACATAATTTAATTATTGTTTTTCAGAGGCAAAAACTATTTCTTCAGCCACAAGATCTGTGAATTCATCCAGTCCCTCTGGACCTTTGTGCCTTCCCTGATGTTACCAAATCTCTGGCTTTGGCAGCATAAACTTGGCTGAATGACAATGGCAATGACCTGATACACAACTTGCCTCATTTATTACCTCCTAAAGATAATAATTAAACAAGTTTGGGTACCTATTATATGCTGGACTTGGTGAAAAGACAACTTCCAAGGGGATCTCTTGGGCTCCCAGAAGATGTTCCTTTGTCACCCACACAGTGACAGTAAGTGTTGGTCTTATCTGCCTGAAATGTTCATATAATAATACTAGTATGGATTTTGGTGTTATCTCTAGCAATACACCATCATTTAAGTCAGAAAAATTTGTTTATTCTAGCTTTTTTCTTCCCAATTCTTGTCATAGAGGATGGAAAGAGAAGCAGCAAGGCAACTTCCCCTCATCCTTTCCCTCTGCTTTGGCCCCTCCATTCTCTTCTTTGTCTCCTAGCTTTGCTTTTCCCAGACTTTAACTTTATCCCAGCCTTCTCCTTGACTTTAGGCTTAACCTTTTGTTTTTCCATTTTGGAGTCCAAATGGCTCCTTTTCCTGTTTTTCCCCTCCTCGGGTGCTATTTTATCTCATGCCCCCATTTCCTCCACAGATAATGCACTCTGGAATTCTTTATGATTCAAGGCTTCCCTCTGCAGCCTGGAGATTTACCAGTGACATGGGTTTGGGGACTTTCCCATTATTTAGGTGACCTCTAGGCCTGGGGAGGAGCAGGTTTTCCTTCCAGCTTCCAGAGAAGAAAGCTGACAACAGCTGCTGTTTCTCAAACCCTAAATCATCCCCTTTTTCCTGCAGGAGGCTCCAGCCAGTATTCCCAAAGCCTGATTTTCATCTGGCAGTGCCAGTTTCTGCCCATCCTGGAGCGCTGCAGTGTCCAAGCCCTGCCTGTCCCACCAGGCACCATTCAGAGCCAGAGCTCAGGTGACATGTTCCAAATCCCCTCCACTGGTAGTCTATGCAGCTATTGGCCCCCAAATACAACTAATCTTGATTTTGAGGGCTGGAAAAACTTTCACTAAAGGCTGGAAGTATTTATTACAAGAAAAAAAAAACAACAACAACAACAACAACAACAAACCCACTTAATTTGGCCTTTATGGGCACTGGTTTTGCTCAGCTGTGCAAACCTCCAGGAGGGAAGGGCATTTGGGCTGATAAAATTGTAACAATCCCCACCAATTACCTAAACGGGCTTTCCTGCCCTTAATACCATGATTTTAGGAGACAGGAGCTCAGGGTCTACCAGAGAGAGAAGACAGGGCTGTATTTCCAGCCCTAGCTCACCACATGTCTTCTTCCCAGAGATTTAAACCTTCTGTTTGTTAATCCAAAAGGCTCTGGAACAGCTGCCCCTGCACTCCGGTTGCGCAATCACCTCCTTGCCACTGATTTCTTTTTGACAGGGCTGATTTCTGGGAAGAAGTGGTCAAAATCACACAAAAAAAATTAAAGGAGAAGAAGAGGGGGGAAAGTGTCTTGCAGCTGTTTGGGTTAGTCTGAGGTTTTAAAAGTAGCTGGAAGAAGGAAGAAGCACTGGGAGGGATGGCTGAGCATCCTAGGCACAGGTAAGATGGTCAGGGGGCACAGCCAGGGATTTTACCTGATGCTTATGCCCATCCAGGTGCAACACATCAATCATTATTGCTGCTAGAAATGAAGGGATGGAACTATTTTTGGGCTAAGAACGATTTATTGCTCAGATAAACATCAGTCTCAGAGGCTATAAGATTTTAGAGGAGCAAGCACTCGGCCATAGCTCAAAGCAGTCACAAGCTCTTCATTACAAGGCAATACAGAACTTTCTCACCCAATGGATAGATGCCACAAGGTTTATTTTGCTTTTCTAACCCATCACCTTTACTTACTTCTGCTGCACTGTGTATACTTTTATCTAATGGGCTTCTGTCACACTTATACACATCTGCTTCTGTTATAACTTTTAAACTCAGTTTATTCCATACAGCCACACACCTACACTATAAACCCTTCACCATCTTATCAATGCAGTTTCTCACTTACTTAAAGCATATTCTTACTTACAACTCTGTAGTTGTAAATTTCTATAAACATAAATTTATGGTTTTTCTGCATGTCTGTGTATTGTATTTTTATGTCAATCCAAGCTTCTCCCAAGGCTGCAGATCAAACCCTTCAATGCCTGTGGAAGTTTCTGCTTTTCCGATTCCCACACGCATCCATGCTCAGAGCAAGGCAAAGCTTGGTGGGGGAAGCATCCCCAAGCCACCGTGCGGGGTCCTGGAGCCTCGGCAGGCTCCGGTCGCACCCTGCTCTCCGAAGAGAGGGAGGGATGGAAGCAGAAGCACGGCGGGATGTGGGGAGCGAGCATGACCTCATCCCTCAGCCACGCGGAGCTGCCCCGGGATTAGAGCAGGGAGCAGCCGCTGCTGGAGCACCACCGGGGCAGGAGGGGAGGGAAACCCCCCCGAGCACCTTCCCCTCCCTCTCCACAGCAGCTCTTGGCAGAAAATCACCCCTTTCCCAGGATTTCAGCTCTTTTCCGAGGGATTTTTAGCAGTCCTGCTGGAAGAGCACGAAGGAGAGTCGCGGAGATGTTGTGCTCGTCCAGGAGAGGAGCAGAAGCACGAGCCTGGATTT